GAGAAAAAAGGCGGGAAAACGTGAGGGGAGAAAAAAGGCGGGAAAACGTGAGGGGGGAGGGGAAAAAAGGCGGGAAAACGTGAGGGGAGGAGCTTTGGGGTCACTTATGGGGCAGGGGGCGGATCTATGGGGCAGCCCCTGCCCCACCCTCCATTAACGCATCAATTAACGCATTAATTAACACCTCATTAATCCGCTCTTTGTTAATTCCTTTATTAACTTCCAACGGTGGGACCCCCGACGGATCTATGGGGCAGGTGAGGGTCCCTGCGACAGGTGAGGGGTCCCTGGGACAGGTGAGGGTCCCTAGGACAGGTGAGGCTCCCTGGGACAGGTGAGGGCTCCCTGGGACAGGTGAGGGCTCTGTGGGACAGGTGAGCGCTCTGTGGGACAGGTGAGGGCTCCCTGGGACAGGTGAGGGCTCTGTGGGACAGGTGAGGCTCCCTGGGACAGGTGAGGCTCCCTGGGACAGGTGAGGGTCGCTGGGACAGGTGAGGGCTCTGTGGGACAGGTGAGGCTCCCTGGGACAGGTGAGGGCTCTGTGGGACAGGTGAGGGTCGCTGGGACAGGTGAGGGCTCCCTGGGACAGGTGAGGGCTCCCTGGGACAGGTGAGGCTCCCTGGGACAGGTGAGGGTCCCTGGGACAGGTGAGGGCTCCCTGGGACAGGTGAGGCTCCCTGGGACAGGTGAGGGTCGCTGGGACAGGTGAGGGTCCCGCCGTGGCGCAGGTGAGGCTCAGTAGTTGCCGCGCTCCTGCCGGAAGCCGCCGCGCCTCAGGTAACCGTCGCCCTTGCGGTATCCGCCATCTTTCTGGTCTGCGGGGAGAAATGGCACAGGTGAGACTGGGGCGGGGCTTGGGCGTGCTCAGGTGTGCCCAGGTGTATCCCAGGTGTATCCCAAGTGTATCCAGGTGTGCCCAGGTGTATCCCAGGTGTGCCCAGGTGTATCCTAAGTGTATCCCAAGTGTATCCAGGTGTGCCCAGGTGTATCCCAGGTGTGCCCAGGTGTATCTCAGGTGTGCCCGGGTGTCCCCAAGTGCACCCCAAGTGTGCCCAGGTGTATCCAGGTGTGTCCAGGTGTATCCCAGGTGTATCCCCGAGTACCCCAGGTGTGCCCAGGTGTATCCCCGAGTACCCCAGGTACAGCCAGGTGTGCCCAGGTGTATCCCCGAGTACCCCAGGTGTGCCCAGGTGTATCCCCAAGTACCCCAGGTGTGCCCAGGTGTCCCCAGGTGTATCCCAGGTGTGCCCAGGTGTATCCCCGAGTACCCCAGGTGTGCCCAGGTGTCCCCAGGTGTATCCCAGGTGTGCCCAGGTGTATCCCCAAGTACCCCAGGTGTGCCCAGGTGTGCCCAGGTGTATCCCCAAGTACCCCAGGTGTGCCCAGGTGTCCCCAGGTGTGCCCAGGTGTATCCCCGAGTACCCCAGGTGTGCCCAGGTGCGCCCAGGTGCGCTCACCTCTGAAGTAGCCGCCGTAGGCGCCCTGCCGCTGGTCCAGCACGCGCTCGTTGTTCTCCACCAGGTTGCCGAGTTTCTCGGCCAGCTGCAGCGCCAGGTTCTGCGTGGCCGTGGGCTCGGTGCGGTGCATCATCACCGTGGCCGTGGGCTGGTCCAGCGAGGCCTGCAGGTGTGCACAGGTGAGCCTCACCTGAGCTGCGCCTGACCCCCAAAAACGGCCCCAAAAACGGCCCCAAAAGGGCCCCAAACGGCCCCAAAACGGCCCAAAACGGCCCCAAAACAGCCCAAAAACGGCCCCAAAATGCCCCAAACCGGCCCCAAAACGGCCCCAAATGGCCCCAAACTGCCCCAAAACGGCCCCAAAATGCCCCAAACCGGCCCCAAAACGGCCCCAAATGGCCCCAAACTGCCCCAAAACGGCCCCAAAATGCCCCAAACCGGCCCCAAAACGGCCCCAAATGGCCCCAAACTGCCCCAAAACGGCCCCAAAATGCCCCAAACCGGCCCCAAAACGGCCCCAAATGGCCCCAAACTGCCCCAAAACGGCCCCAAAATGCCCCAAACCGGCCCCAAAACGGCCCCAAATGGCCCCAAACTGCCCCAAAACGGCCCCAAAATGCCCCAAACCGGCCCCAAAACGGCCCCAAATGGCCCCAAACTGCCCCAAAACGGCCCCAAAATGCCCCAAAACGGCCCCAAAACGGCCCCAAATGGCCCCAAAATGCCCCAAAACGGCCCCAAAATGCCCCAAAACGGCCCAAAAATGGCCCCAAAATGCCCCAAAATGGCCCCAAAATGCCCCAAAATGCCCCAAAACGGCCCCAAAACGGCGTCTCCCGTCCCACTGCGGCTCCAGGTGACACCGGAGCTGTGGCCAGGTGAGACCCGACCTCACCTGTCCGCACAGGTAACCCCAGAAACGGCCGGAAACTGCCCCAAACTGACCCCGAATGGAGCCCAGGTGAGGCCACACCTGTCCCACACCTGTCCCACACCTGTCCCACACCTGTCCCCAGGTGAGGCCACACCTGTCCCACACCTGTCCCACACCTGTCCCACACCTGTCCCCAGGTGAGGTCACACCTGTCCCACACCTCTCCCACACCTGTCCCACACCTGTCCCCAGGTGAGGCCACACCTGTCCCACACCTGTCCCACACCTGTCCCACACCTGTCCCCAGGTGAGGTCACACCTGTCCCACACCTCTCCCACACCTGTCCCACACCTGTCCCCAGGTGAGGCCACACCTGTCCCACACCTGTCCCCACCTGTCCCAGGTGAGGCCACACCTGTTCCCCACATCTGTCCCACACCTGTCCCACACCTGTCCCCACCTGTCCCCAGGTGAGGCCACACCTGTTCCCTACCTGTCCCCAGGTGAGGTCACACCTGTCCCACACCTCTCCCCCACCTGTCCCACACCTGTCCCCACACCTGTTCTCCACACCTGTCCCCACACCTGTCCACACCTGTTCTCCACACCTGTCCCACACCTGTTCCCAGGTGAGGCCACACCTGTCCCCACCTGTCCCCACCTGTCCCAGGTGAGCGCTCACCATCAGCTCCTCGTTGATGATCATCTTGCTGATGATGCCGTGCACCGTGGGCAGGTCCAGCTCAAACATGGCCGCCAGCGTCTGCATGCTGCAACAGCCCGGTTCTGCCGTTTGCGCCCCAAAATTCACCTTTGTCACCCCAAAACTCACCTTTCTCACCCCAAATTCACCTTTGTCACCCCAAATCCACCTTTGTCACCCCAAAACTCACCTTTGTCACCCCAAATTCACCTTTCTCACCCCAAATTCACCTTTCTCACCCCAAATTCACCTTTCTCACCCCAAATTCACCTTTCTCACCCCAAA